CTCGGAAGGCTGAGGCGGAAGGACCGCCGGAGCCCAGCAGGTCGAGGCTGCAGTAGCCGGGAGTGGCCACTGCACTCCAGTCTGGGTGACAGAGTGAGACTCCAACTCAAAAAAAAAGTTATTTAAGTAGGCCGAGATGGCTCATACCATAACCTCAGCACTTTGGGAGGCCAAGGCAAGAGGACTGCCTGAGTCCAGGGGTTCGAGACCAGCCTAGGAAACTTGGCGAGACTTCATCTCTACAATAAATTAAAAAAATTAGCCAGGTATAGTGCCACTTGCCTGTGGTTCCAGTTACTTAGAAGGCTGAGGTGGAAGGATCACCTGAGCCCAGCTGGCCAAAGATGCCACTGACCTCCAGCCTAGGTAACAAAGTGAGACTCTAACTAAAAAAAAAAAAAAAAAAAGTATTTAACATTAATGTTAATATGCAATTGTGCTTATTATTATTTTAAATGAATTAATGCTGGAATTATAGGTTTGAGCCATCATACCTGGCCCAGTTAAACATTTTCTAACTATTTGCTTATATATCAGACTCTTAAAAATTAATATGGGCAACCCTTTCGGGTCCCTTCCCACTGTAGGAGCTTTTCTGTCCTTTTAATAAATCTGCTTTCAAAAAAAATAAATAAATGCCAGGTTCGGTAGCTCAGCCTGTAATCACGCGCCTTTGGGAGCCCACGGGTTCGAGACTCGCCTGGGCAACTTGGGAGACCTCATCTCTACAATAAATTTTTAAAAATAGCTGGCCGTGGTAGCGCACACCTGTAGTTCCAGCTATTTGGAAGGCTGAGGCGAAAGGATCACCGGAGCCCAGCAGGTTGAGGCTGCAGTGGCCGGGAGGCACTCAGGAGGCAGGGCTGAAGAATTGCTTGAGCTCAGGTTTGAGGCTGTGGTAAACCGTGATCACACCACTGTACTCTAGCCTGAGTGACAGAGTTAAAACCCAAGCTTAAAAAAAAAAAAAAAAAAAAAAATCCCAGCACATTGGGAAATGGAGGCAAGAGGACTGCTTGAGCCCAGGGGTTCGAGACCAGCCTGGGCAACTTGGTGAGACCTCATCTCTACAATAAATCAAAAAAATCAGTCAGGCATGGTGGCGCATGCCTGTGGTTCCAGCTACTTGGAAGGCTGAGGCAGAAGGGTTGCCTGAGCCCAGCTAGTTGAAGCTGCATGAGTGAGCCACTGCACTCCAGCCTGGGTGACAGAGTGAGATTACAACTCAAAAGAAAAAGAAAATTAATACACAATCCAATTTTTTATTTTCTGTGAACACACAGCACTTTAAAATTTTCCAAATGTTTTTTATATATCATCCTTATGGTAAGGTATGTAGTTAGTGTAGATGTCTACACCCAGTTTTACAGACAAAAAAGTAAGTCAGAGGGCAGAACAATCTCCTTTATCATACCACCAATATGATACAGCAAGAAAGAAAATACACATCATCTGATCCTCACCCACATACCAAGTTACACAGATTTTTTTTAAAAAGAGGATCTTTTCTAGTATATTTTATGTAAAAAAAATTCGACTGGGCTCGGTGGCTCCGCCTGTAATCTCAGAACTTTGGGACGCTGAGGCGTTAAGATTGCCTGAGACAGCAGGTTTGAGACCCACCCAAGCAACTTGGTGAGACCTTGTCTCTACAATAAGTCAAAAAAATTAGCCAGGCGTGGTAGTTCTGGCTACTTGGAAGGCTGAGATGGAAGGATCACAGGAGCCCAGCAGGTCGAGACTGTGGTGGCCGGGATTGTGCCACTGCCCTCCAGCCTAGGTGACAGAGTGAGACTCCAACTCACACAAAAAAAATTCATTTTTAAGGCTTTAATTTTTAAAAAATATTTCCTCATGTATGCTTTAATGTGATCACTGTAAATCATATTTAGAGAAAGAGGTTACAGAAAACAAATTCCTAAGGTATACAGTTACTCATAGCCTAGCTTCAATTTTCTAGGTTATAAATGGTTTCAAAATATATCTCCAGTTTTTCTTTTTAGTCAAGATTTTTTTTACCAGTTTTTTACACCAATGAAAATGGAGTAATGCAAAGGAGTAAGAGAGAGACTATAAACTGAGTCTGTCCAGTTTCTTATTCTAAGAGCCTTTTTTCCTTCATTAGTCAATAGGAAATGACAACTTTTTTTTGTACCTTTGAATTCTATCAGGCTTTATACATAATGAAAAGTATATTTCAGTCTAAAATTTTTAGCAGTCTTACTTCTATCTTAGTATTAGATACTGACAACTTATAAGTACCAATATCTCTAATAATACAACACTTAAACACAGAATAACCTTCATTACAAATCCATAAGAGGAATTACTTAAATATATTTTTGCCCAAATATTTCAAAAATAGTTCATAAGCCATTATTAGTTCACATGCCTTCTTTCTACCACTCAGAAGATGGCACATCGGATAAACATTTATTCATTCACTAACTTAACAGGACTTGCTGTGTACTAGCATATGTAAAGACAAGTAAGTCTCTACCCTTATGAAACATCTGTGATCAAATATTGAAAATACTAAAAGAGGCCAGGTGCGGTGGCCCATGACTGTAATCCCAGCATTTTGGGAGGCTGGGGTGGGAGGATTGCTTGAAGCCAGGAGTTTGAGACTAGCCTTGGCAACATAGTAAGACCCTATATCTACAAAAAAATAAAATAAAATAAAAAAGAAAGTGGAAAAAAAACCCCAGTATTTTACGGGTACACTTTTCTAAAATCTCAGAAACATTTCACTACTCCACCTTTATTCCAATGATTTTAATCATAAGAGAAAAGTGAGCTCAAACACCAACCCTGCTTGTGTAGTAGGCCTGAAAAAAAAATTTTCAGGAGATCTGAATGAGATGTCACAAAAGAAATTCTCAAAAAGTTATTTATTAGATTCAAAAATATAATGACCATCTAAGTATAACTGAATATAAAATTTCTTCAATAAATAATAAATTTGCCAAAAAGCTAATGAGCTAAACAAGATGTTATAAGGGTACCAAGGAATCATTTTAGTACATTAAACAATAAAAGAGAGAATAAGCCGGGCTTGGTGGCTCAGCCTGTAATCCCGCGCCTTTGTGAGGCTGAGGTGAGTGGATTGCCTGAGTCCGCAGGCTCGAGACCCGCCTGGGCAGCGAGACCTCATCTCTACAATAAATCAAAAAACCAGCTGGGCGTGGTAGCACATGCCTGTAATTCCGGCTACTTGGAAGGCTGAGGCGAAAGGATCGCCAGAGCCCAGCAGGTTGAGGCTGCGGTGGCCGGAAGTGGCCACTGCACTCCAGTCTGGGCGACAGAGTGAGACTCCAACTCAAAAAAAAAAAAGAGAGAATAAAGGGAGGAAGTCCTATAGGAAAACATCAGAGTGACAACACAAATGAAGAATCAAAAAAAAAAAATTCCTGCAGAAACGAATATGTGACTAACTGCATAGGACATTTAAAACACAAGAGGTATGAGCAGCAAAAGATAACAAAGCCACAAACCTAATGGTCAAAGGAAAACAATGATATAAATTAAGAATTTGATAATAGGTAAGAAAGGATGATAATAAGTGTAATTTTATATACTATATTTAAAACGTGGATATCTAAGTGGATAATCCTGGAATCAATTGGAAATATAGGACTAGGGCTCATAAAAAAACATCAGACCTAGGCGGGCTCAGTGGCTCAGCCTGTAATCCTGCGCCTTTGGGAGGCTGAGGTGAGTGGA